CCAGACTTACTGCTGCCCTAAACCCAAACATAACCATATAGACTACATTTTATGCTTTTTATTATCTATTACATAAGTATAGGTTATCATTTTGCATTTTCTTCGTTGTAAACTGCAATATGGATCTAAAACAGCTTAATAATAATAGAAATAGGACCACTGAGTTCCTATTTAAAACTGAAAATGAGTAGCACGGCCTAAACTCACCACAGCAAGCAGCAGATTCTCATTTATGTGTTTTTTTTGTTGAAAAGTTGTCAAATAATCGCAACCAAGTACAGCCATGTGGGCGGAGATATGGGGTAGGTGGAAATAGGAGTTTTCTGAGCATTTCAAGCCTAGAATGCAAGACCAAATAACATTACTTAAACACGCACAAATCAAAATACAACTCTGAGTAAGGTGGTGATGTGGGACCAATGTGGTTAAAAGGTCATTGATTTTCTATACGTTCTCTTTAACCTACCAGATCTATAGGGCACTGCATTGAGTTTCTGAAATACACAAGTCTTTTTGTTACACATTTTAGGCTTTGTTTAGACCTGGTTGAGTCTGCTCAGGTCCAGATTAATAGTTGGTCTATATTATTATTAGTCTTTGTTTAGATCTGATTTGGTTCAGTCCTGGTTAAGTCTTCGTCACATTGTATAGTCATGTTGAAACAATTTAAAGATAATGGTGCAGCTAGGGTCTGGGGTCCCTTGAGGGTCTTCAAATGTGCTGCAGGTGGGACCCCACAGGTTGTCTATATCAGTGTTTCCCAGACTTTTTTCTGGGGACCCATATTTTAAGAGTCAGAAACCTTTGCGACCTAAGTCAATAGACATTATTCATAAATCACAAAATAAAGGTGGATTTGACCATCATTGAGCATTAATGAGGACATTTTATTGTTGTCTGAGTGATGGTGTCTCTCTGAACAATTAGTATTACTCAAGTTTTAAAAAAGAAAAACAGTCATTGAAATACCAATAAAAGGTATCAATAAAACAATAAATGTAGCCCATTTCTTTTTCTTTTCAACAAGCAGTATTGGAACCAAATTAAACGTATATTGCAGACCTACATGCAAATCGTGACAAGGCGACCCCCAAAAAATCTCTTGCAAACCACATGAGGGCCTCGATCCAGTCTTTGGGAAACAATGGTCTACACTATTTGCTATTGTGTCCCTTCAAGCGCTTGTTTGATGTTGTATAGTCACATTTTTATATAGTGCTTTTCCATTGTTATTACCGTATTTTTCACACTATAGGACGCCTTTAATTTAATCAAAACGAACACACATTCACCAAGACAAGGAGACAGAGCAAAGTGATTTACGCCACGATCTGCCAATGGATCATGGACGCCTGGGCTAAGGATCAGTATCAGTATCAGTCTTCACAAAGACCGGAATCATCACTGAACTGCCAGGTAACAGTAACTACACTGACTCAGATAATGACGAGCGGGATGCGGGCATAATCGCCCAACTGTTTGAACAATTATGAGTTATGTGAATAAGCTAACAATTTAGCACTCTCAGACAGTATTTTTTTTCTAACTGTTGTGTTTCGTTTAATGCGCCTTATAGTCCAGTGCGGTTTGTATGTGAAAAAAGTTTGAAAATAGACCATTCAATGACAGTGCACCTTATAATCCAGAGCGCCCTATACTGCATAAAATACGGTATATTATATTGTGATGTGAGAGCCACTGTGTCCAAATAATTTCCCTTGTGACTTGGTAAAATTTGTCTAAGTCTAATTTGTAGTTAAAAAACACACACACATTGGAAAACATGTACAAGAAGCTCAAAGTGCACCAATAGTTTTGGTTTAGTTTATAATGGTTCATGTGGTCTGAACAGGTCCCCGCATGGCTGGATAAACATGTACACACACTCACCAGGTTGCGCCCACTGTCCTGCCCGCAGCGCCGTGAACATGTGGCTTCAAACCCAGGAGGAATTATGTTTATTTGTTGACAAGGGATTATTCCATGTGTTTTAGAATTCTGTGGTGACCAAATTAAACAGACCTACTTTTACATCGGCTGTATAAAATGGTTTTGACATTTGGAGCTTGTGAGAGTTAATATAACAAAGAAAACATTAAGGTGCTGATTGGTGAGCTAGGTCGTATTATTAGCAGAAGTGTCAGACCAATTATGTTTACAATGTGATGATTGAAATGCAAGAACTCAATAATGCTGTGATAATAATTATAGAGAATACAGCAGCAAGTACCTCAAAGCAGAACTTAAAATGAGACCATTAAAAGACTCATTTTACTCTAGTTTTTGAATTACTTTATAATGTGGTTTCCTGTTCACAAACATACCTGGACCTTTGTTTTATCTCATTCAGACATGCACATAAACACACACATATCCTGCAAATTTAAGCTGAGTTCTTCTCTCAAAATGAAAACACTCTGTTCCACCTTGTGATGTCATGTGGTAATACAGGAAATGCTCCACTGTGTTTTAAACTTCATACACCTTCACTAGAATCACTCGGATGAAAGTAGCCCTAGAATTCTCTCTACTGAACCTAATCCAATCCAATCCAGTCCAACTTTATTTGTGTAGTACATGTTATAAACAAAACAGTTTCCAAAGTGCTTCACATAACAATGTAAAAAATTTTTTAAAAAGCCAGAGAATAAAAGTGGGTCTTAAGACGAGACTTAAAACACTTCTCTGTGGGAGCTGTTCATATGTGGAGGGGCAGAGGGTTCCAGAGTTTAAGTCTCATTTTAAGCACCACAAGCTGCAGCTGGCCCTTGGACCTCAAAGCTCTTGCTGGGGTGTAAATCTGGATGAGGTCCGAGACGTATTGTGGAGCCAGTTCATTCAAAGCTAAAGGTAAAAGGTAGCTGTTAATTTGAAAACTTCCTCTACATGACATCAGAAAGTACAACAGAGCATTTTGAGCTTTGGAGATAAGGCAGACCAGAGGCGGCGCTACTATTAGGCAAAATTAGGCTGCTGCGTAGGGCCCCCAAACCTGGAGGGGCCCCCCAACCAATTTGCTCTCAGTGCCTCAGAGCAATTTGATTTTCTCTCAATATGACATTAAATGAGAGTAGTTTACTTTTAAACAATAATCATAATAAAATAATAATAATCATATGTAATGGATGTAAACAAAAATGTAATTGTACTACAAAAAAAAAAAAAAAAAAAAAAAAAAGAAATCTGTGCATTATAATGAGGTCTCCAAATTCAAAGTTCACCTAGGGTCCCCAAATTGCTAACTCCGCCACTGAGCCAGACTAATAATAAAGGATTAGTCAAATGTGTGAATGAAACAAAACACAACTCCAAGTATGTTTTTGAAGAGGTAACAGCATTATAACATGACTTAAAGCTCACAAGAAACCTCCAAGCAGAATGCAGCTACAGTACTGTGGCTATATTGTTTTATTTAGCCTATGCTATGTATTAGTACTTCACTGATCTGTTATATTACTAGTATATTGGGTTACTGTGTGGAAAATACTGCACTGCACTGTGGGTGTAAATCTATCCTATTATTTATCTTAAGCCTCCTCTCTGACCCCCACTCATGTTGCTTAATGCCGTACTGTGGAACATTCCAGGCAAAGTAATAACATCACCAAGCACAAGTACAATGTTGCAACGTTGAGAAGTGACTGAATACATGTAACTGAATATGGTACAGTTACTTGGCATTCATAGGAGTGCATTGTTGTTTTTGAGCACACCATTTAGGCTTCAAACGGTTTGATATTAGTGAGAACAACAGAAAACTTTGCTCTTTGTGGTGAGTGCATGTTTTATTTGTTCTTAATAGTAATAGGAAATGCTTTAAGAACAGTGAAACAAATACAAAGCTGGTTTTGATCCTATGTTGCATCAATGTAAAAGTATTCTAAGTATTCAGAATAATTAATGCAAGTATTCAGTATTGTAGTGCCTAAAATGAGACTTAAATCCAGGGGGGGTAGGGTCTTCATGTGGCTGGACCCAAGCTTTGGAACGCTCTGCCCCCCCATGTCTGAACAGCCCCCACAGTGGAGTGTTATAAGTCTTTTCTTAAGACTCACTTTTATTCTCTGTGTTTTAACACAGCGTGAGTTGTGTGGTCCTCTGTGTCTTTTATTTATTTTACTTATTTACTGCTATTTTGTGATTTTTATGCTTTTGCTTTTATCTGATTTTACTGGTTTTATTGTTTTAGGACTGGTATGATGGTCCAAATTTTAGCAATGTACGTTTTTGTTGTCTTCATTTTGTGATCTCTTTGTTTTGATTGTTTTATTTGTAAAATGTGTTATATAAATAAAGTGGATTTGGATTTATTATGTAACTAAATACATTTTCAAAGTATTCTTCCCATCACTGCAGATATAAGATCTATAGTCTTTAGGCTTCACAGTGAATATTGACAGAAATCTAATAATAAGTCTAAATGTATTTCATAATTCTCATGTATTAGATAAACAGAATTATGCAATACTTTGCACAGGTGTTTATTTGAAGTCTATTGTCATTGCATCACAACTGGAAGAAACACTCGCCGCTCATTGTTCTGTTAATTATTTCATAACAGATGTAAATTATGTATTAATTACTCGATTAATGAATGCAACTGGTATTTACGCATTCCACGTTTAACATCACGTGCTTTGAAATCTACTCAGCACGCTTCAAAATCCTGAATGAGAACCCCCATTACACAAGCTGATCGTAAAAGAACTACAGTAGTCCTTATTTCTACTACAGTGCTCCTCCACCATCTGGTATAGTAGTAGTAGTAATAGTAGTAGTAGTAGTAATAAGCGAGTATTTCTGCATCTTTCTCCTCCTCGAGTGCTTTGTCAAGGCCAGGCAGGGGTCTCTCTCTCTCTCTTTCTCTTTCCCTCCCTCTCTCTCCATCGCAGTGACTCGGGCTGAGGAGAGGGGGGCTTGGTCGCTGTTGTGAATGAGGGCCCGCATGACGTCATGAAGCCAATGTCAACAATGCAGCTCGCGGAGGAGAAAAGGCGTTTCATCCTCCTGACACACGCATAGCTTATCCACTCAAGAGGTCCCGTGTACTACTACTACTACCACTACTACTACTACTACACCAGCCAACAGCGCGCGACGACGACCCATATGTCCACGAGCGATCGCTACTATTGAGTTCTCTTTACGTTTAAGGGGCTGCCGTGTTGGAGAGGGGGGAACGCACCGCGATGTGGACCCACTGTTTTTGCTGAAACAAGCGAACGCGGACGTGAAGGAAATCGGGTAAGTGCTTTCGCTGAGATAATAAGCAACCATTTGGGCTTTACTACGCTTGAATACACCCGTCAATCAGCCGGGGATTTGCTTAATCTGTCTGCAGTGTTTGGCTTACTACTCTGTTGTTTGTGTACTAGTGTTCTCGTTAACTCTCCCGGGAAGATTTTGAGATATTTCCTCTAACGCGTTGTGGTTTTGACTGTAGCCTGTTCGCATGGAAACGTGGAGATGCTCTGTCTATTTTGCGTTAAACGTGCGCTTTAAACACATGTCCCGATGCTTTGTGAACACCTTGTCCAAGTTCACTGCTAACAAAGTCATTTTAAGCAGTGTTTCTTTCATATCTTAACTTTTCACAATAAAATTACCAGGGGAGTGAATAGCGCGCTGGAATAACAACAACAACGCACCGTATCCAAATGCCGTGTTTGTTGTGCCTTCCCCCACTTTACAACAATCCTCCCTCTGTAAACAACTTTATTTTGTCTTGTAATTTTGCATATTTAGCACGTAATGATTCCATATATTGGCATGCATGCCTAAAGCGTATTGGATCGGTTTCTTCATTGAGCTGTACGGGGCTTTCTCTGCTTGTCATGCCGTAGGAGTGAGGGGCTGTGGAGGGACAAAGGAGCCAACCTCCCACCTTATTCCCGCCCTCCGCTGCTGAACACTCGGTTCCGTAAACACCCCATCGCATATAAAGCTTCTATTATTCTATTCTTGCGTTATTATTTCGCCAATTTAACCAATTTGGGCATTTTTACGCAAGTAATTAGCTGTAGTAATTCTGACGCGCGATAAAACGTGACTGTACCAATCAAACCACCTGGATTACATGATGCATTGTGATTGAAATTTTAACATTTAACTCATATTTTTGGGGTCAGTTTTATTATATATAAACGATACACGCTATTCCAACCATTCTTTCGCAAAGCAGCCGTAGCCTGCACCGTGGCTTTTTGCAGTCGCAGCAGCAATACTCGTGAAGGGGGTAGCACTCCAGTGTCTGAGCAAGTCCATGTCTTCCACTCTCCCTCACGGTGTACACACTGTTGGCTTGAATGGAGCAGATAGGAGGTGACTGTAGCCGATAAAATATTTACCGGACTAGGCTTCTCTGCGGCAGACACTTATCTTCTAGTGCAAAGAAATGCTGAGAGGCGAGATGGTACTGAGGGAATAGCGCAAAGTTCAAGCCAGGAATAGTAAAAAGCATCACTCAATGGACGAGTCAATCAAAGTCAAGTGCATCGTCATAAATGCGTAATACAACCACATTCCTATAGATTTCCTACTAATTTTGCATATTTGACATTTCTAGGATATCCTCATTTTGCTACGGTTTGCCATGCCATGTTATGAAACCCATTGAAAACAAAGAAAATGTGCGTTCACAGTTGGATGTTTTTTGCATTGTCATACTCCGTAACGCCACTGGATGGGGCCATAGTAAGACAATTTGATTTGTTAAAATGATTCATAACCTATAGCATTAATTCTATACGTTCTTTTGTTTGCGTATTGCTTTGCTGTGGCAGTGGGGGGAGGAATAAAGTGAAGGAATGATGTAAGTGTAAGAGAACATCGGGATCGACCGTGCTGAGAATAAGCAGGTTTATTGGGTTATGTCTCGCTATTGTGGTGAGTCATCGTAGAGGGCAAAGAAAGACTGGTCCGGGCATCACAGCACAGTCAAGCTGCTTTGTGCGTGGAGGTTTTTGGTCTATTCATAGGGCAAGTTCAAATATATTTCTGAAATAGCCAGGTTCCGGTTAAGTACATCTTACTTCTTTAGTCATGTATTGTTCAGTTTAAAGATGCACTATGTAACTTTTCGGTTGGGGGTCCATCATGTTCTTGTTTCTCTGGATATGTCATTGCTCGGCTTTGAATATTCCACAATATGACGTTAAACAGCTCTGCCTTACATGTATTCAACTACAAGTGGTTTCATTGCTTAAAAATACCTACAAAAACAGGCATTCTGACTGTGAGCGGGGTCGCCTTTCCACAGATCTGACCAGTTACTTGTCCTGGTTTGGTCTCCATGATGATAAAAAGGATTCATCGCATACTGTGGAACATTACAGACAAAGCAATAACATCTCCATAGAGAAAAGAGGGTGGAGAAAAGTTCCACAATGCACCTTTAAAATGAGAAGTTAAAATGTCTGTACTTAATATACGAATATATTTGACTTTATCACAAATCTTATCATTTGATGGGCAAAGATTGTTCTGACATTGCAATACAGTCAAGCTGCGTTTTGCATCTAGGTTTCAGTGTATTAACGGTGATATATGAAGTCAGTAGTGCAAGTTTAAACTCATTTTCGAAAGACCTAAGTTCCAGTTGAGAATACATTAGAGCCATGCATTGTTCAGTTTAAAATAAGAACTTAAAATGTCTGTTCTTACACGAACATGGACAGATTTATAGTGACATGCACAGAATTTTTATGTAGAATAGTGCTGCAAACAGCTCATCTCCCTTACGCACAATCTATGCCTATAAATACTGTGGAACATTCTAGAAAAAGCAATAACATCTCCATGGAGACAAGCAGGTAGCGGACCCTCTACCAGAAAAGCTGCGCAGTGCACCTTTATGCTTCTGTTACACTGCGTATTCTATTTGCTTAGTCTTGCATTGTTTTATGTACATAGTTGCTGACACGTCTGTATGATGTAAATTGCCTCCTCTTCTCTTGATATTAAAGGTGCGCAAAGCAAAGCAGCTGGAAAAAGCTGATTGATCTGTCTTCAAGCGCTGTATTGTTGTCTCCACATTATAACCCATAATGTGCTCTTAACATCAGTAGCCTCTTGTGCAGTGATTGGTTCCACTGCAGAGAAAAGCCTGACCCGGAGATTAGCCCAGTCATGTTTTCACTGTTATTCAATATAAAACTACAGGATATCTCTATGTCATTTTGGTGTATGGTTGTTTACACGTTTAAAGGGCCCATATTACGCCATTTTCTGATCTATGTTATAATGTTTCCTCATCACAAACATACCTGGAGCTGTGTTAGTTTTTTTTTTTTTTTCATTCGCACATGTTTAACACACAAACCCTGCATATTTATTAGGCTGTGTTCTTTCTGCAAATAGAAAACACTGTGTTCCAGCTTGTGATGTCATACAGGGATACAGCAAGTGCTCCCCTGTGTTTTTAAACTCCATACACCTTCATTAGAATAATTTGGATAATTTCAGCCCTGGAACTTCCAGTCTTTAATAAACAAAAATGCATCTGTTCTTCATGACATCACAAGGTGGAACTGAGCATTTTGAGCTTTCATGATGTAGACAGACTAATAGTAAAGAGTTACTCAAACATAGCTCCAGGTGTGTTTTTGAGGAGATAACAACATTATAACATTGCTTAAAGCTCTTATTTTTAGTGATCACTTTTGGCTCTATCGCATAATAATATAATATGCATTTACACCTAAATACATTTTTATAGTTTTAGTTTAAAATCTGTATTTAAAATGCAAGATAAAGGACAATGTCTTACTAGACTCTTTGAAAACTATGAAATGTAAACTAACTTAGGCTACAGGGTTCAGAAAGCTAAAGCAAAATAATTACACCATGGAGATTTTTTGGTTGGTATATACTTTTTTTTTTTCATTAATGATTTGAAATGACTTGATTAAAATCTTTACAGCCCTTTCAGTATTCCCAGTGCTCTTTATAACTGACACAGGAAAGCTGCTTCTACCCCCCACGTGTAAGAGGGACATCTCAGCACATTCAAGACACTGTAACAACCCTTACTGATCAACAAAAGACAATGCCATGATATAATACTTTCTTTGCCATCTGGTCCAAGTCCATAATGAATAATGTCAGAAATCCTGTCCTGTTCATTGTCCTGCTCAAAAGTATGCTCAGTATTATTCGATGTTGTTTTGTTTGTTGCTTTGGATGACTTGGTGAGCACCTCTTCAGCTTGTTATAATCCTCTAGTGCAGACAGTGCGTAGGGGGATGGGCAAATGTGCATGTGTGTGTTCATTTTCACGTCTGAAGCCAGTCTCCTTTATGCTCCCTGCGCAGCCACTGTGAAGCCATTCAAGACAGAGATGACTGCAATGTGTGGGATGTATAGGGGGAGAAAACATGTTAAATCCTATAGAATGTAGGAATAGTGGTGTTTAAAGAGGTCATGATATCAAATTTTTGTGCTATGTGATACTTGTTATTCAGAATTACTGAAACCATGACTAAACAAATGTGAAATCTGTCATTTACTTTTCTTTCTTTTTTTTTGCATAATCATCTAATACAGTCATTTCCAACTGGAGGATTCTCAGGGGATCCCCAGGGGTTCTTAGAAAAGTAAATTCTCAACATTTTAATGAAGGGATAGCATATTAATTGCATCTTTGTAATGTATTTTATAACAATTGCTGTTTTAACATCTTTATTAACCAGAAAAAAATATAAAACGCTTTTGTCTTATATTTTTTATCAGGTAGTAGAAGGATGTGGGGGATCACTGGGAGAAAAGTGTCGAGAAATGGTCTAATAGATCGCCATTCCTCTGCTATAAAATCAAACATCCTGGCTGAAAAAGTTAATTTAGCATTTTAAATTTAAGTTTCCGTTTTTAGTCTAGATTGAATGAAAATGAAAATGACTTTTGCCTCTAAAAGTGTGTGCAATTATTATTATTTTATATTTCTTGCAATTATATTATGGCCTGAACAATTACAATTACTGAATAAAGGTGTACTGTGTAACTTTTCGTGTGCTGGTTACACCCCCTGATTGTCTCCATGGAGATGTTATTGGTTTGCCTAGAAAGCAACACAGTGTGGCATTAAAAGTATCTTATGTAAAATGTATTACTTTACAATGCATGCATTCTCTCTCACAACCTGACCTAAATGCCCAAATGCTTGTGCTTCCATGATGATATACAAGTTTAATGCCATAGTACGACACATGAAAGTCAATATTATCTCCATGGAAACAAGCAAGTGGCAT